CTGACTGTGTATCTGGTGAAATGATAGTGGAGGAACAGACCAAAGGTCACCTCAGTGTCTCCCAACTCACTGTAGGTGATGTAGTCCGTGGTATCAAGGGAGCAGAACGGGCTTCTGCTTGGTGCGAAGTGAGGGCCATCTACCCTTTACCACAAAATGGGACCCGAACCACTTACGACGGCTTCACAGATACTCATATGGTCGTGGATGGAACGGTTCACCAATACGGTGTTCGTGAGAATGGAACAGTGCGCATTGGTCCCGTGTATACGCTTGCTACTGACTGTGATGCGTCTGTGAATTCAGCTGGTCAGGTCTTCACTCCTATCAACAACGGGCTCTGTCCGTTTGAGCTGAGCTGGGACGAGTACCTCACACTGATTACTGCCATTCGGCGAGTGGCCAATCGAACTGGATACTTCTGGTTTGACTTGAGCGCCTACCACAACAATGAAAGCGCCATGATGCCGTATTGGGGAATGCAGCTACCTGCAATATGCCGCAGTTTTCTGCGATGCGCTCGTGAGGACCAGTGCCAAGAGTTTGAGATCATCATGGAGCGGTTCGTGCACGAGTATCTGAACAAAGAATACGTGGAGATCGTTGAACGCGTCTTTCCCAACATGGGCAGTGATGTAAGCAAGGAGCAAAGAGGAACCTTTACAGAAGTGGTTCGTCCAGAAAAACGAAAGAATTACCTGGTGCTGTTTACTGCCGTGGGAAGCGCCCTGTTTGCGCTTGGAATCATCGTGGCTGCAGTGTTGTTGTACCGCGGACGAAGGATGAAGAGGATGACAGTAACCGAGCTGGGACCCAAGAAAACCAGTCCTACGGTTTCATGAAGTTTTGAACTCCATGTCACTTACTTTTTTTGAGCTCAAGTTAGTTGCGCAATTCCCATATTCTGTAGGTTGTTTATTAAGTTAAAAGATTTCGTTACTTAGGTGAATAGACACTGATTTTTATTCATGAAAATTACAGAACTAACCCATTATTAAAACAATACATAGATGCACTTAGCATCGAGGGGTGTCAGTTGATATCTGTGCATGATAACTAACTCATTACGATCGGGAGAAAACAGGAAAACTGTAAGTTTGATTTATCTAAGTTTTAACTGAAGCTTCATTATGTATTCAAGCTTTTTATTCCATTTGCAGTTGCTGGTAGAGAGGCAATAAAAACATGTCTGTGAAGTCGTTACTCGGGTGTGTGTCTTTCTGAACTTGTACGACCAACTAAACTAGACTCTAGAGATGTCTGTTGGTCTGTAGGCCGCACCCGTCATTAGGGAAGGAGTCAAAGGAAGAAGCGGAAGCTTTCTGTGGTAGATACTAAATTTAAG